AGTGTTTTTGAAATGAACCCTTCCATTTTTATTTTTGTTTTTTTAAGACAGTCTTACTCTGTGTCGCCCTGGCTACAATGCTGTGGTGTCCCAGCTCACAGCAGTGTCACCCAAACTCTTGGCTCAAGTGATCCTCCTACCTCAGCTTCCAGAGTAGCTGGGTCTGTAGGTGCCTGCCACACACCTGGTTGATTTTTCTATTTTTAGGAGAGATGGGGGTCTCACCCTTGCTCAGTCTGGTCTTAAACACCTGAGCTTAGGCAGCCCGCCACGGCCGCCCAGAGTACTGAGATTACAGGTGTGCGCTACCATGTCCAGCCCTTCTATTCTTGTTAATTGAGATGCCTAATATAACAAAAAGTACACATGTAGGGGTATTATATTACCACAGTATTTTATCTTACAACTGTAGGCAATACATATTTAAATTCAACAGATAAAGTTATGTTTCCTGTTACATGTAGAAATTTATTTAATATTTTTCTTTTTAACTTTAAATGGCTTCTAGTGTTTATTTTTTTATCTTCTTGGTATCTCTGAACTGCTTCAGAGGGTTCATTGCAGTGTTTAGTAACAAAAAGGGTAAGACTGTATGACCTTAATACGGGCTTCTTGATGTATACTTAAGGAATATGAATTAACTTTGACTCATTCTGTAAGGTAATTGTTAGAAACTGTTTAAACGAGTAAGTCAGAAAAAAGGGAAAATTTTCTTGCTTTGAAACATGTTGGTTTCTTTTTATTATCAAGCCAGTCAAACTGGGATTTATTACTTTATGGATTAGTGTTTGTAATTCCTCACATTGATGCTGCCTGTTGTCTGTCTAGAGAGAGAAAAAGATAACCCATCTCTGGTTCAGTTAGATAAGAAATCTGAATACGGGTAGAAAGTTATATGCACATCTTTATTCTTTATTTCTTTAAAGCAACTGAAAGGATGAATTTTGATTATATTTGAAGTAGTAATATAGCAGTTTACATATATACTATAAATTATATATATCCAAGTGTAGATTGGACTTTAGTTTCCTTTGGAAGTTCTGTTTTCTTTGTAACATTGCTGCTGTTTAAAAGAACAGCAACAAAAAATTCTGTACCTTTTTGTTTTGGGGTATTCTTTTAAACTGTAACACAATTTTTTGAATAGCTTTAGTGATATCAAATTTTTAGCCTCTTTTGTCTATTGAATGTTCACGTGTAGCTAAAAGTCACTTAGAACCGTGATTGATTAAAAGGTAGATTAAGATATTTCATATCAGGGTGGTGCCTGTGGTTCAGTGGGTAGGGCACTGGCCCCCTATACCAAGGATGGCGGGTTCAAACTGCAACACAAAAATATTCAGACGTTGTGGCAGACGCCTATAGCCCCAGCTACTCGGGAGACTGAGGCAGGACAATCGCGTAAGCCCAAGAGGTAGAGGTTGCTGTGAGCTATGATGTCACGGCACTATACCGAGGGCAATAAAGTGAGACTGTGTCTCTTAAAAAAAAAAAAAGATATTTCATATCAATTTTGTTCAAAATGAAATTTGATTAAATAATAAGATTGGTGTTTTTGTGACTTAATGCTTTCTTTGGTGAAAGGACTTCTAAAAGGAAGGTTTAAAAAATATATCATTAAACTTTTTTCTTTAAAAATTTTTTTATAGAGATAGGGTCTCACTGTATTACTCAAGCTAGTCTCAAACTCCTGACCTCAAGTGATCCTCCCACGTTGGCCTCCCAAAGTGGTGAGATTATAGGAGTGAACAACCATGCATGCCCAGCTGAAAATATGTATCTTTGAATTATATTGTCACGGTTAGACTAATTGGTATCCCAGTCTATTTTGAGTGACAGATTTTAGCTTAATTTCCTTTTATTTATTTCATTAGAACATAAACCATGAGGAGGTGGTTGGAGAGAGGGTGCTGGGAGATA